TTGACCTGTCAGCCGCCTCAGTCAGAGGGCTGAAAGATCGCAAGGCAGAACTTTTTTCAAAGCCGAGGCCAAAACGTTTGAATTAGATTCAGTCATCTTTGGGAACTACATAGTTCATCACATTTAGATCCATTTATGTGATGCTCTGTTTTTTATTTTATTTAATTTTTTTTTTTTATTTGGTGACAAAGAAACACTTGACTATCTTTTTAAAGACATTTGACTTGATTTTAAGCTGGTTTTATGGAAGAGGATCAGACCTGTAATCATGGGGGTTCATGTAGGTTTTTGCAGATTGTGATGGTTTTATTTGTGTTGCATTAGAATGTTGCCTCCTAGGTTAATAAAGGTTTTAATCCTTCAGAAATTGCATTGGTAGAAGAAAACATGGAAACTGCTAATATAGCATTTTGTGTTTGTTAGTGACAACATATTTATCGATCTAAAAAAACAAATTAAGTCCCTAGGGAAACCATGTTCCCCTTACTTGGACTGTGGCAGAAAACCTCCTGTAGAGGGATTAGTTGGATAACATTTAGAAACTGCCGTTTTTTTTAGACTGCATGGCAGACTGGTTGCAGACAGAGCAATGAGTGCATGGTGAGGCAGCAAGAGTAGATTATCTGGGGATTCTCCACGGTGCATCAGGGGAGATAGATGGATGGCGTGCAAGCTGCATGCGTCTTCCCAGAGCCAAGTGCCACTTGCAAGGCAATCCACTGTCAAAGGTCTATTAAGGGAAGATTGAGACCCTAGGTGTATATGTGTGTGTGTGAGTTTGTGTTCACATGCTCATTGGTCATGGTCCTTCAGTGGAAGATTGAGACCCCAGTGCCCCCAGAGCCACTCAACCAACACAACCTGCAGTGGTTTACAATCAGCGCAGCACTGTCCATCCATCCATGTTCGCATTCAAACACACACATACAGGCACACACACCAGTTTGTATTTCTATCCATATTAAGACTTTACATTGACTCATATTTGTTTTACTTACTGTATTTATGCCTAACGATTTCATTACCCCTAACCCTAACTATAAGCAGCATATTTCAAACCCTAAGCTTAACCTAAAGTTAATTCACACCATACCTCTAAACTGACACCATGACATTAAAAATGGGCTTCCACCGCATTAGGACTAGCCTTTGGTTCCCACAAACCAGTAAACTCAAATCTTGCAATATGTATTGAGGACCATGTTTTGACTAGGGATGTCTAGATATATTAATATCACAATCAGTCTGATCTCAGCTAAAAAATAAATACTGGCTCTATCACCCTGCATCTCAAATCTCTCATAGTAGCACCTTACAAAAGTATTCAGCCCACTTAAAGTGTTTGCCTTTCGCCACATAAACATAAAGATATTAAAATGTTATCTATTGTGAAGAATCAACAAGTGGGACACAATCATGAAGTGTAACGGAATATATTAGACATTTTAAATAAAAAAACAGAAGAATGGGGCGTACAACTTGAATCAGCCCCTTTTCTTTCAGTGCAGCAAACTCTCGCCAGAAGTTCAGAATCCCCCTGTTTGTAATCAGATCTCAGTATAATGCACCAGCTCTGTGATAGTCTAAGCGGTATGTTTAAAGCACGTAGAGTATCGTGAAGAAAAAGGAACACACCAGGCAGGTTCAAGATACTGTTGTAGAGAAGTTTAAAGCCAGATTTTGATACCAAAAGATTTCCCAAGCTTTACACATCCCAAGGAGCACTATGGAAGCAATAATATTGAAATGAAGACCACTGCAAATCTACAAAGACCTGGTTGCCTGCCTAAACTTTCAACTCAAACAAGGAGAAGACTGATCAAAGATGCACTTAAAAGGCCAATGATCACTATAGATGAACTACAGAGATCTACAGCTGAGTCGGGAGATTCTTTCCATAGGACAACAATCAGTCATATACTGCACAAATCTGGCCTTTATGGAAGAAAGCCATTTCTTAAAGATATCCATAAAAACTCCTATTTTAAGTTTGCCACGAGTCACATGGGAGACACAGCAGACATGTGGAATAAGGGCCTCTGGTCAGACAAAAGCAAAATCTACAATACAAAAAGCAACACATCTCATCACCCTGAACACACCATCCCTACTGTCAAATATGGTGGTGGTGGCAGCATCATGGTTTGGGCCTTTTATTCGGCAGGGACAGGGAAGATGGTTAAAATATCCAATAAATTTCATCCCACTTCATGTTTGTGTCCCACGTGTTGTTGATTCTACACAAAGAATTACAATTTTATATCTTTATGTCTGAAACTTAAAATGTGGAAAAAGGTCAAAAAGTTCAAGGGGGCCAAATAATTTCGCAAGGCACTGTAGACCATACCTAGACGTTACCCTAAACTCAGTTCACACATTAGTTCTAAACATAACTGTTAGCAAAATAGGAATTGAAGACCAGAAAAACGTCTTTTTTTGGTGCATACGGTCCTCAATTTGATAGAGAAATTGTAAAAATGGTCCTTACTCCAAAACAGCCAAAACAGGAGCAGACAGATGCACACACACATAAAGTCACACACACATATAACATACTGTAGGACAAACACTACATCCAGATGCTATTAAGGAGCAGCCATGGTAAAGCAGCTATGTGTCCACACTGTAAACAGGGCAACCATCATTATGTCTTCAGGGAGGTTTTAGAGACAGATTGAAGTGCAGGTTAAGAAAGTTAAGGGTGGGCATGTACTGTGTTGCAAGGTGGGAATCATGGCAATACCTTTGACAAGCCCTATTTGTCATCTGGCTTTACATCCAAAGCGAACCCATTGTTGTAGAGATGGATTGTGGGAGAAAAAGGGACCCAAAGCCTGGCAACTAATCCAGTACAAACCAGCAGCACTGCCCTCTTTTCCTTCACTGTGCTTGTCTTTGAGGAACAAACACATTACCTTTAACTCTTACAATTACAATGAAGTTTACGACACAGCTCCTATGGAGTCTTTAAACTCCGCCACAGTATGGCATTTTATTTGATTATATTCCACATTTTAATAAAAAACATCTGAAATCTTAAAGTAGAAAAATATTTAGCTTTAAAATGTTTTGAATGGGTTTAAAATATAAACAATCTGAATTAAGTAAGTTTTTGATTTTATCATCTTTGGTCAAATTTGCTCAATCCAAACGTATCTATTTCTGTTATTGTGTTTATGTCAGAGAATCTGCTCGCTCTATAACTGAACTCTTATTGAAAATTTCAAAGCTTTTTTTTCTGCTTGAAGAAAAAAAAATCTGATTAGCCAAAATTGTTATTTTCTATATTTGGCCTAAAAGAAACCTTCACACTGGCAACTGAATGCTTCGGTAAGGCTGTCAGCTTTTTTCTCACCTTTTGACTGTCAATCCAAGATCACTCTTTATTTAATACTGGTGGTTATTTTAGTGCTGCCTGAATCACAAAGGTGTGATTATGGTATATTAACACATTTATTTAAAGCTTTTATATGTGCTTGTGTTGGAGACGGTTAAAGCTTCTGACTGTTGTTTGTTCAAAGCTAAACGTTGACCTAAGATGGATTATCTGGCAGATGAAACTAGTGCCTGTTTACCACAGCTCTATACTTCATGCTTTGTTATTGGGCAATAATTAAGATTGTGTTGTTTATGAACAACTTGTGCAAAAGTGAATACAAAGTGGGCTTGTCATCAGGTGCAAAAACTCATCTGTTATCCCTCTTTTATCACTCAGAAAATACTGCGGGCTTTGCTTATTAGAAGAACCAATGTTTTCTCTAACTGCTGCTCAGAATGAGTAAAGGCAAGCAGGAGAAGTACATAAACAGGGTTTGAAAGTAGAAATTTTACCTTTTTATTGGCGTTTATTATTGCATTTTGGAAAGCCAGTCTCCATGTATGAAAGCAAGATACTTTATACCAAGAACAGAACCTCTGTAATAATTAAACACACTCAAATCTGTCAAATGTTAGCCTTTGGATCTTGTCTAATCTCAGAATTACAAGCAAGTCAAGAAGCAGGTCTGTCTGGGAGGTTGGGGATCAAAGTTTAGAAGATGAATAACTTAAAGAATTTTAAAGTAGTTGAAGTTAAAATAGCTATTTTAAATTTTCAAATTTCAATTACTGCATTATTAAGCCTTCTGTCGAGTTTTAGTGCTACAATTGGGGCTACAGGTGATTGTAACTCATACAGGATGTTTTAATATATAAATTCTTTAGTTTTACTTTACTTTAGCCTGATTCAATCTAAGTTGTTAAAATGTTTAGAAAAAATTAACTCGATCATGTTTGACAAAGTCCAGCATGTTCTGACTAAACAGTTTATAGAACTTGTGGGTTGCTGCAGTGTTATGTGTCATAAACCAGAAGCAACCAAATGCAAAGAAAGGTGTCAGTAACTAAAAAGAACAAAAACAATTGCTTTCTTTTACCAGCTTTACAGTTTGGACTCCAGTAGACTCACTGCTTCTGGGAAGTCTTCTCTGTTGGTAAACTGATGTACACAGGACCTCAGATTATCCACAATGCAAATTCATTTTTTTGTCTCAGTGTGTCATCCAGGCCAGGCTTTCATAAAACAACATGATGGATATGCATACAAATAAATAAATAAAAACACATGGGGCCCCTCTTTTTCCCCGATTCCAATCGCTCTAGTCCTCTGCTTCTCCACTGATGGATTTGTAAAATGATATAACAAATGAGACTTAAAGTGAGAAGGAAGGAGGGAGGCAGGGCAGGAGGGATGAAGGCACAGCACAGAAAGACAGAGCAAATGATTTATTAGACTCATAAAAATTCTGCCTCTGTTATTCCCTTTCATTTTTATATGTGAAGCTTATTAAAGAGCACACCTGCCAGAGTCTTCAAATCTGTGTGTATATGTATGTGTGTATGTGTGTGTGTTTGAAATGATGGGAATGTGCATTTGTTGATGTGCTGACTGGATACATTTTACTGCGGCCTCTGTTTTTGTGTGTGGTCAGACTCATCCATTCCTTATTACTGCTGTCCACAGATACTGTCTCTACATCCCATCTAAGCCCCGCCTCCAAGCGAGTGTTCAGGACACGCTACAAGATAGTGACCCGTCCGGGTACCAGTGGTGTGCAGACTCCGCAGCACAACCCAGCGCTCACCTGGCGAGCAAGGAAGATTCAGTCAGCAAGGTAATCTATGAGAACATTGTTGTTATATTTGAGGCGTCTGCAGCAGGGGCAGGACATTTATAGTAACCAAGAGTAGAAAATGGCTATTTAGGTATGCTCCACCCACAATGGGTGGATCTTCTCCTGAATCTCATTACAGCCACAATTCTCTATAATTACTGTGACATGTCAGGTGTCAAAGTAATTATAGAGAGTTTTTTGAAGCTGTGCTCAGAAGACCAGAATGTATATTTCCCCCTGTATCTAAATAAAAACAGTTTGAATTGCTCTTAAAAAAACCAAAAAAACCGAAATTCACCACATTAAACAAGGATATCAACACTAATGTGTTTTTAGCAGAGAAAAAAAGTCAGGGCACCCTTCTAATGGCTGGTTTATCCTAGTTCTCACAATCTAAATAAATATCTTGCCCATGAAAATGGATTCAACAGCAGCCTTATACAATTTATTTCTTTAAAATAAATTTCCTTTATAATTACTTAAGTGATCAATAACAGCAGCTTGTTAGGTTGCTTCGAGGTACTACTGTGTTACTGCTTTTAATGGACAGTTTAATTTTGGCTCCAACATTTGTTTACGTTGACTTGTGTTCTAGTTAGCCTCCTTAAAGGCACACCATGTAAATTTTGACCAGTAGGAACGCTAGACCTTTAACGTTCACGTCTAGCAATCCTTGCGGCCACAAGCGCCACAGTGCTGTCGCAAAAGTCAACAAAAAGTCAGCCGGCCAGCCTCCCATGTCTTTTGATTGGAGACCTAGGTGTCTTGGTTTGCCTTGGGGGACGTGAGAAACCCTGCTGCTCTCTGGAGAGCACTGCTGGGGCAGGCCGGCTTGGTTTCCACTAAACATTGAAAAAAGTAACAAAGATATATAACTGTATACTTGGAGCAAAGCTTTAACTCACCAGTCTAATAATAAAGTTGAGGAAAGAGAATCGGTTTAACATCTGGCTTTTTCTTTCAGCCTGTTTCAACTCCTTTCAAAGGTCGACTCTTGTTTTTCGGCGTGCACGATTCCTTTCAAGTTTTCTCTTTTTAGCCTCAGAAGGTTTAAATTTTTTCCGTGCCTCAGCCATGACCATTTGCCGAGCAGCCAGAAAAATAGTAGTGCAAAAGCCTTAGTTCCATAACTAAAGAAGATCCTGTGGCCACAAAGCGATACGTTCTTCCAGGTCAGGTGACCTGGCCAATGACGGCACGTTTTATCCCAACTTACATAGTCGGTGTTTTAAGAGGGGAGCCTCGTCCGTAGCATTAATAGTGTCAAGCGCTGTAGAAGTAACCACGAGGGTGTGCTGCTCTGTTTTGATGCTTCACTATTTAATAATGGCTGAGCCATTAGCTATTTAATGTTTTCAGCTGTTGATACTGCAGTAGAGTACTGTGTGATTAGAATGGACCATTTCAGGGTTTGAAACTGTGCACCTCAGAATTACATCTTAACAAAGGAGCTAAGACCAACAACACGTGGGTCAAAGATGGTCAAAGTCTGCCAACACAGGTGCTTTAGCATTATTGGCGTACCTAGCATGTGATTTTTGTCAGCATTTCCTGTTTTTTCAGGAACTAAAACGTTTTTTTTTTGTTTTTTTTTACTGCAATTTGCAGGTCTTAGCTAGTTTTAGCTTTTCATAATTACTTGATTGATACAATAAAAATATTTCTGTGTTATTTTACATTAATATCTTTCTTTGTTTTTACTCCGTTTGTTTATTTTGACTTATAGATATATTGTGCACGTTTAACAGTTAAGTATTTATTCTTCTTTTTCATAAATCCCCTTAAAACGGTTTGACATGTAAAATAAGTTTTCCTCTACTTAACCCTTCCTGTGTTTGCTAAATAAATAAGATGCTGTGTCAGAATGACTTTAGTATTTATAACTTTCGTACTTCAAAAGACATTATCCATATAAAATAAAATACCCATTTATGCAAAGCAGCAGACTGCACTGCTTTTCCTCTTTTCCCATCCTCTGGTACAACTCTGGTTCATTTCAACTTGTTGCCTGGAACATGAGCTATGATTCCTTAAAAAGGCAAGGGTTGAAAGATTTTGCCAAATAACAAAATAGCATTTTTTCCCTTGCGCTAGCCATAAGCATATAGATGTTTGTCTTCAGGATGTTTGACCTTGTAAATGTACTTTTTCAGAGCCCATCATCGCAAGACTTTGCTCTTGCTTTGAGCTAAAATGTTGCCTGTTGTGGGAAAAGTGCTCACTTCTATTCGTATGCATAGTTCTACATGCTAGCTGCAATGCATTCTTCACTTCTGCTTGGTGACACACCCGCTTAAAGGGTATTACCACCACCTAAAGGGCTGAGTGTAATAGTATGCGCCTTACTCTTATATGAACAAAATTGCATGGCGCTGCGATTAAAATTTTTACTTTTTTTAAATTGCAATTGCATTGCATTTCAGTTAATTACCCAGCCCTATTTCCCACCTAGTCAATTAGCCTTAAATCATTAATTTGTGACACAAATATTTCCTCAGTTTAACAAAAATCTTGAATGATTTATTAAAAATTTCAGTATGAGATCTTAAGGTCTTAAGATAACCTACACTATCCTTTGCAGCTTAATGTGTCTCCATTCACAATTAAAGATCTGCGGATATTTTTGAAGTTGGCGACTGTTTTTAAAGGTACTTCTCTACTAACTTTTTCATTTGCTTGTTTATTCCGTGATTCAGTTTTGGGTTTTAAGGGAAGTGAAGGAGGGGTGATCATTTGTTTAATCTAGATTTGGTGAGATAGAGGGGCCTGGAGCGTGGCTGGCCGCAGCCTCTGGTGACTTATTACTATTCATTTAGCTGCTGCAGTAAATATTGATTCATCAAGGGATTTTCAATTTGAGCCCGTTGACATGCTGTGAAATATCACCATGTGTGTACAAGTGAAGGGAGAGATAGGGTGGGAGGGGGGACAGGTCGGGTCCCCTGGGATGGGGCCACTCTACTCGTTCATCTCTCAAGCTTATCTATCAGTTAAACTCCAAAGAGCAGCAGCTCCTTTTATCAGTTTGATGCTATTGAGTGGTGCATGAGCTCATATTCTTTGCTCTTAACTACGGAGTGCTGCTCTATATCTTTGGCCTATCACACCTACTGATCCCGGTCCTCATAGGTCCTCAGGTCTTATCTCTGTGGGTGATCATCGCTGCATCCCATTCTGCTTTAAAAAGAGCAGCTGCGACTTAAAACAAGGAATAAATAGTTAAAAAATAAATTGGGGCACTGGATTTTTTATTTCATGTTGAAGAAATGATCTTACTATTCAGTTAATTAACAAAAAAATGGTTTTCAATCTCTTAAAAGAGGTTATAATTGTTGTGTTGTGATAATCTGTTCATAAAATTCTCAGATATTTTTGCGCCAATTCCAGCGTCTATTTATTTTTTTTTAAAACCACCTGTTAAAAACGTTTTTTGAAAGAAATCACATACTTTTCAAAGCTAAAAATCCTTCAGTATTATTGTCAGCATCACATGTCAGCAGTTATATTGTCTGATACTTGGATTATTTCAGGAAGCAAGTCCTGAACCGTAAAGACCTACTGTGTAATGTATCAGTGGTTTGATATGTGGCTACAAGTTTTGGATACCACTTTTTTCAGTTTTCAGGAGTCTTCATTCTGAAGTCAGCAGGTTGCAATACTCCCAGTGCCTGAGCGTAGTTACATGTGGTCAAATATATAGCGCTGTTATTGCTGACATTTAAATTAGCAAAACATCAGCTTACCTGCCAAATGCAAGTTTAAAGTTATCTTTAATGCCTGCATCAATATTGTGCCAGTGCTTTTAATTAGTCAGCCAAATATTTTTAAATGCAGCTATGAATCATTTGTGAATATAATCTAACAAATAACTCTGTTGCTGATCAACGCCTCAGTGAATTAATGGCAACTCAAAGCCAGATCACATTGACTATGAGAAGAAAATTAATGAGACTTTTAACTTCTTCAGCTACAGGCTTCCACAATAACACTTTGGAACGCCATTAACTTGCAAATTAACAGCGGTCCAAACAAGCTACTTGTAAAGTTTTATTGACCCAAACTAATTTATAGGTGAAAGCAGCCTAAAATCAACAAGACATATAGTTTGAAATCCAGTTGCTATAACTGCAATCTCTTTGTTGGCACTTTCAGAACTTTAATGAAAAATAGTTTACAGTTAAAGATATTGTTCAAGTGTAATATATTCAATTCACTCACCAGTTTTTAAAATAATCCTAAAACTTGTATTGTTTTTCCTTTTTTTCACTTTGTGTCTAACGTTTTCTTTGAAGGTGATGGATGGGGATTTCTTTTAAAGTGGACAAGAACGGCATCATGAAAGGTCTTACCTAATGTTGTTAAAAGCTATTAAACTGCTATGAATTACTTATGTGCTTCCACATAGTTAAAATTCTATTTAAAACCCAATATTCACCACATGCAAAGATATATTATGAATTTGTCCTTTTTATACTTTTGTACCTTCTCACAGCTATACATTTTAGTATTTTTTTAGAGAAATTCCGTAAGCTTATAATGAAAAATATCTATACAATAGCCTTTTTATATGACCCTTTAGAATTTAAACCTCTTTTGATCAGCAGACTGATACCTCAGTGGTTCGGTGGCCATGTATCTATAAGCCTGTAACCTATTTTCACGAATTTACTTTGGTTTGGAAATTCGCACGCTGTTCTAAGGATGTGAGTGAAGATGTGTCTGACCTAGCAAACAATCAAAGCGTTATATTCAAGATGAAGTTTGCTGATACTAAGAAGCGACCAGCATCGAGCTCAGCTCAAGACACCAATGCTATCTCCATGTAGGGTGGAAAAAAGAAACCAGAAAAAAAAAAAAAAAACATTGTTAAGTACAATTGCACGTTATGAGAACAAGCAGGATAGTGCTGCAGTTCTGTGTTTTCACCACAGGTGGCAGAAACCTTTGAAAACTCAGTAATGCCTCTTCAAGCTAGCCTGATAAACCAGACTAAATGTGAG